AAACCATCCCAAATCTTCTTAAGAGACCAGAGAATTGTCTTTCACCTTCACAATGTCAACTACAACCCAGCCTCTCACCTTTGTTATAATTGATCTATCTTTTCTGTCCTTCCTTCCTCTTCTCCCTTGCCACCTTTAGGTCGACATATAATTGTTTCGATCACAAACTGACCCTTCCTATCTACTGCAGTTCTGTTGTCTTTTCTTTTAACTTCTAAATTGAAGTTACAGACTGATTACCAAAATCTGCAGTTATATCCCGAAAGTGGTAGAATTAGCATCTTCAGCCCATAGGTCAACATATTTCTTTGATTGCTTTTCTTTGCTCGGCCAAGAAAAAGAATTAGGTTCTTTTTGCAAATTAACAAATATAATGTGATTCTGATAAGATTTTAATGACAGGTATTTTTTGCTGAGAACTCCTATGTCCTAGGCACAGTATTAAGCACTTTACATACTTGTTATGTGATGCCTCGTTATCGGAGGAGAGAGGAAAGGGAGTCTCATGGTTATCAATGTACCCACACAGATGTCCCTAACCCTGCCCCAGGTGTCTGGGTTGACATAATTTCCTATTGACTTGCATTCCTGTTTGGAGACAGTGTATGTTGAAATGGTGTGATTATCTCAGAGAGAAGTTAGGTGCCCAGAGATTTTCAGTAATTGTGAAAAGCTCAATCTGAAGGCGCTGACAGTGAACAAATTTGAATTCATATCCACTTTGCTCCACTGGCTGCCAGATAAAGTGCTGGATGTTGGGTCTGTCCGGGAGCTCTTGTGATCATCATGAACATTCTTCAAATGTACTTCTTTCAGGGAGGGAAGAATTGATTTTTAGAGAAGAAGAGAAATACTTCCAAACAGTCCAAGTTGTTTCAATGTATTGTTGGGTCACTTTGAACTCTCTTAGTGCTCTTAACTTTACAAGAACATACTCTGGCATTTGTGAGCAAATATGTGTTGTCCCAGACCTGCTGCCCCGCCCAGCAGGGCCTGGGGAGGACAGTATGAGGGTCACTCATGAAGCCACGGTTAAGGAGTCACAGTGGGCACACATCTGGAAGACTTACTTTTTCAGACAGTTTGTCCCGGAACCCAGTCTGCTAGAAGAGTAAAAAAGGGTAAGAAAAATCACCTATCTTCTTTGTTCTGTAAACTTGCTTTAGCAGAAAGTATAATAGGTCAACTACATGGAGAGGACTTAAAACCTCGCAGTCAGAATTAAGTAAACAACCAAAATGTGCAATGAGGATGATATTTTGGAAATTTTTAGCTGGTAGAGTTTTCTTCTCAGACGTGCATCATGTCACTGGGAGTCCTTCTTCTGTTTAGGGAAAACCATGAGAATTAGTTCCATGAAAGTGAAGCTGTGCCCAAAACAAGCTCATTTTTTTCTGTTAAAGAGTTTTTTTTAATATTTATTTATTTATTTATTTCTAAGAGAGACAGAGAGAGAGTGTGTGCGTGTGTGCATGCGTGTGTGGGGGGGTGGTGGGCAGAGAGAGGGAGACACAGAATCTGATGCAGGCTCCAGGCTCCGAGCTGTCAGCCTGGAGCCTGACACAGGGCTCAAACCCACCAACTGTGAGATCATGACCTGAGCTGAAGTCGAAAGCTTAAGTGACTGAGCCACCCAGGCCTCCCCAAGCTCACTTTTCAAAATTAATCATGAGCTAGTGAGCTTGAAAGTCAAAATAAAATGAAAAAAAAATGGTTGTTTTTTTTCCCTATATTTCAAGTCTCTCATTTATAGATTTGTGGGTAAGCCTGGCAAACTGGGAACACAGAGTTTCACTAGAAGTTCTAGATGCAGAAAAGTGGGGGTGTTCAGTCGACCAAGTTCACATGCAGGTCAGAGAAGGGCTAGCACTCGGGGCTGGGATGTGATGTGATGTGTTGGGGAGACAGTAAGAGAATGTATTTTCTGGTTCCCTGTCTCTGGGGGTCTTATCCAAGGGAGGATAAAAACTTCCACAGAAACCCAAAGCACATGGAGGGAGAACTTGAGAACATCCGGCTGATGTCAAGCTTCTGGAACACGGCCCTGGAGGAACACCACCAACAGTGGAGACATCAGCACAGACCAGCCCAAACCAGCCCTGACTGTCCCCACGGGCTGCACAGGTAGGAGACCCAAATGCTTCTTAGCATCTCTGAGAGGGTCAGGGCTCCGAGGGGACCACAGGAGGCAGCAGCCGGGATCTGGATGAGAAGCTGAGTTGGGAGCTTTGCATCCCAAGGCGTGCTGTGAGTCAGTAGGGGTGGGTTCAGGGCTGGTTACTGCACAGGACAATTCAGAGGGAGAGTCTGAATCCAGAGAGCGGGGCCAAGGGCTGAAAGAGGGCGGCAGGGAGACTGTGAGAACTAACTCTCCTCCCGGGTGCAGTGATGGCAGCAGGAGGCAGGGAGACAGAAGGATGAGGAAGGGGACAAAGGAGACAGAACTAGCCTGAAAGGGGCTGTTCTAAACCAGAGGAAACTGTCTTCAGTTGGTAAGCTTAGTGCCTCCTCCAGCATCAGAAGGAGGAAGAGATGACATGTGTGAGTTCAGCAATGACGACGCTCCCGTCCCCTGCCATGCACCAGAGATGTAGCCTGGGTTTGCTCTAACCACTGCGCCCTGCTCAACGTGCCTGCGTGAGGGGGGAGCGGGCACCAGTGGGGACCACAATCCATCCCGAGCCCTCCCTGCTCTGTACCCGGAGCAGGGCTGTGTGAGCCTGGAAAAAGTGCCTTTTTCTAATTTTCTGCCTAGGTTGTGCTGTG